ACAGAACAGAACAGAATAGAATAACAGAGTTGGAAGGGACCTTGGAGGTCTTCTAGTCCAACCCCGTTTAGGCAGGAAACCCTACACCACTTCAGACAAATGGTTATCCAACCTCTTCTTAAAAGCTTCCAATGTTGGAGCATTTACAACTTCTTGTGGCAAGCTGTTCCACTGATTAACTGTTCTCATTGTCAGGAAATTTCTCCTTAGTTCTAAGTTGCTTCTCTCCTTGATGAGTTCCCACCCGTTGCTTCTTGTCCTGCCTTCAGGTGCTTTGGAGAATAGCTTGACCCCCTTCCTCTCTGTGGCAGCCCCTCAAATATTGGAAGACTGCTATCCTGTCTCCCCCGGTCCTTCTTTTCATTAAATTAGACGTGTCTGGAATGGTATAAGGTCTCCTGCTCGAGCCAGGGTTGGACCTGAAGACCTCCAAGGTCACTTCCAACTCTGTGATGCTGTTACTTAGGGGGCAAACACGGAGTACTTTGACACCTATCTTGCCACCCATAATCTGTTTGCAATTTGGGGGATGGAGGAGAACGCTTTGGGACTGAATGAAGGATGGAAGGAGACGAGCCTTGGTTCCGAAAGGGGACGGAGGGAGAACGGTGTGAATCTGAACGAGGGATAAGAGGGAGAACAATCTGGATCCCAACGATGACGGACGGAGGGAGGAGAACGGTTCGGTTTCTGCTTCCTCAAGAGCCTCCTTGCTTCTGCTTTGACATCGGAGACCTCCACCTGGAGGTGTGTGTGTGTGTGTGTGTTTATTGTGAACGCTCTGCCCGGCAGTTGTTTTGAGTGTCAGACCTTGGATTCTTTTCATTGGAGACGGACGATGTTTGCGGTTACCTCACTCCCCAATCAATGCGGCACACACGCACACGGAGCCCAGCTCTCCACGGCACCTCGGAGTGGCTTAAAGCAACAAGGGTCCCTGGTCACGTGGGCTTGTGTTTGAAAACAATACAAGGCCACCTTCTGCCTCCTCCGCCCCCCCCCCGGTCCGCCCGCCCCCCACCCCCCTCCCCCCTTTCTCCAAACTATAGAAAAATGCTGCAAAATGCGAATTTCAAGGACGCTTTCCAGTCGCAAGCAATTAGCGCGCACCGGCAGGTTTGAACGGGGAAGGTGGAGGGGGGGGGAACCCACGTATCTGCAGATTGAAATTTGAGTTGCTCTTTCATCCTTCCACTTTAGAGCTTAAATTGTCTCTCTTGCCTTAAGCAAAACCGAGTTTTAGATGACCGGGGAAAAAAGAATAGCGGCTTTGATCTGTTTCGCTCGAGTTTTTCCTCCACCTCCCCCCCCCCCCCAGCGATGTCTAGTCACTTGATGAAAATATGTCATCCTTGTTCTTTTTTTTTTTTTTTCCCTCCTCTGTCTCCAGTTTTGCTCCCCCCCCAAAAAAATGTATGCACCAGACGGCCAACAGGTAGGAATGAGCAGGTGTGCGTTCAGCAATCTTATTTTTTTGCAAGACGACACCAAGAAACAAAACAAAGAGCGCAATTTAAGTAGCAGGGGACATATGGAAAGTGAAGTCCAGCCTGCCACTTATTTAAAGTTGCTTATGGTTCGCTCATTCATTAAACCACAGTTGGTTGCTGTACAAAAAGAAGGTAAGCCATAAGCCATGATAGAGCACATAAGCCATGATAGACCACTGTGGTTTAATTATTCATTAAATTAATTATTCATTAAACCAGTTGGTTGCTATGCAAAAAGAAGGTAAGCCATAAGCCATGATAGAGCACATAAGCCATGATAGACCACTGTGGTTTAATTATTCATTAAACCACAGTTGGTTGCTGTACAAAAAAAGGTGAGCCATAAGCCATGGGAGCACATAAACCATGATAGACTACTGTGGTTTAATTATTCATTAAATTAATTATTCATTAAACCAGTTGGTTGCTTTACAAAAAGGTGAGGCATAAGCCATGATAGAGCACATAAACCATGACAAACTACTGTGATTTAATTATTCATTAAAGTACTCATTAAATTATTACCATTAAATTATTCAATAAACATTATTCATTAAACCACAATTGATTGCTATACAAAAGGAAGGAAGGGCATAAGCCATGATAGACTGGCTACAATGTACTGGGTTCGGCCATCACACTAAACCACTGAAAACTGGATGAAGGCTTAAGAACAGATCAGGTTAAAGCATTAGGTTAAGCACCGATTAGCAGCTGACTGTGGTTGTGCAGAAAATTAAAGGCAGAAATAGATCAATGACACACCGGTTTAATGTGGTGTAAGATTAGCTTAAATTGTTTTAGGTCTGAGATTATGGACAGCTGTTGCCTAACCATAATGGGTAACAGGGGTTAGTTAGACCACGAAACCTACACGGCAGCTTCCTCTGATCCAAGGCGAAACCGAAATGCCGTTTTAATTGATTAATGGTGTTTTTGTGTTATCTTGTACTATTCCCTAAGGTCCGCCGAACTCAATCTTCGTAATGGCAGCTTCAAAATACACAAATGGTATCATTTGCGTGATGACATCTGCGTAATGACATCATTACCTAGAGGACATTAAGGAGGCCTTCTGCATAATGGCGACGTTATCCGGAGAACACGCAAACGGAATTTCCTCCATCGTGGGCAAATGCGTCTTCAGCCTGAGATCCAGAAAAACGAGATGGTGCTACATTTTCCTCTATTGATATGGACTGTATTTTTCTTTCCAGCAAAGAATTGTTCACTACTCTGGTGTGTGTCAAGATAGCAAAGCAGTTAACAATTGTTAATACCCACGAGATCCTATGCTCTCGTTACGGGATTCTAAAATTAGCCCTGTTGATTCTCGACGTTCAGCCACTCCGGAGGTGTCACGCCATTTCTTGCTGCTAAAATAATCTCTTATTAGGTCATAGAAAGAGCCCTCGGTAGGATCAAATCTGTTGAATCCTGTACCCATAGATCCACAGAAGGACCACGGGGAAGGAGAAGACCACAACGGAGAACGGGTCGCAAAAAATTTAACCGTATCTACCGCTGGAAACTTGCAACGGAAGCCCTTAATGATTTCTACCCCGGGGGGGAAAAAAAATTCTTGATTTCAAGCCGCTGCAGGTTTTTTTTATATCTTCTGGCAAGTGCCAGAATCCCCTTCGTGCCATCAAATATTTACGATGACCACTCTTCAACGTCTTCCTCGATGACTTGGATGGGGTTGCAGATGACACCAAACGAGCAGGAATAGCCAACACTCCGGAAGAAGATAGGCTCAAGATACAGAAGGATCTTGATAGACTTGAACATTGGGCGCTATCTAACAAAATGAAATTCAATGGTGAAAAAAAAGGAAGGTTCTACCTTTAGGGAAGAAAAACCAAATGCACAGGTAGAGTATAGGTGGGACCTCGCTCAATAGTAGTAACCGCGAGAGGAATCTTGGAGTCCTAGTGGACAATCATTTAAATAGGAGCCAGCCGGGTGCAGCAGCTGCCAAAAAAGCCAACACAGTTCTAGGCTGCATCAACAGAGGGATAGAATCGATATCATGTGAAGTGTTAATACCACTTTATAAGGCCTTGGTAAAGCCACACTTGGAAAACTGCATTGAGTTTTGGTCACCACAATGCAAAAAAGATGTGGAGACTCTAGAAAGAGTGCAGAGAAGAGCAACAAAGATGATTAGGGGATTGGAGGTTAAATATATGAAGAACGGTTTCAGGAACTGGGAATGTCTAGTTTGATGAAAAGAAGGACTAGGGGAGACATGATAGCTTGTCCTGATATCTCAGGGGCTGCCCCAAAGAAGAGGGAGTCAAGCTATTCTCCAAAGCACCTGAAGGCAGGACAAGAAACAACAGATGGAAACTTATCAAGGAGAGAAGCAACCTAGAACTAAGGAGAAATTTCCTGACGGTAAGAACCATTAATCGGTGGAACAACTTGCCTCCAGAAGTTGTGAATGCTCCAACACTGGAAGTTTTTAAGAAGAGGTTGGATAACCATTTGTCTGAAGTGGTGTAGGGTTTCCTCCTAAGCAGACTAGAAGACCTCCAAGGTCCCTTCCAACTCTGTTATGTTATTCCATGCCATGCCATGCCATCCTGATGTCAACGTTGAAGCTGACTTGACCAAAGCCATCTTGACAGCTTCAGTGTTGCCACACTGGCGCTGAAGGACAGGCAGAGGAGATTTGAGATAGCTGGGATTTTGTAGCCAAAACAAAATACTTTCTCTTGAGAACCAAGGACGTTCTCACACTTGGTCAGAGGAAGGCGGCCAGGCAACTGGACAGCACCGTGATTGGACCATGTGACTGATTGCTTTGAGAAAGTGTCAAGCTTTTACTTTTAATGAGGTGAAAACCATGGGAACTTCCAGAGTCGGTTTTCACCAGATCTGTGCCAATATGATATATCCAATAAAGCTATTCATTGAGGAATCTACCTGCCTCGGAGTTTGCTTGCTATGGGTCTATTACTTGGAACCCTGACATCTGATTTAGCAAATTCCCTTGGGTAAAATATGTGCCACGTGGTAACGGGCAGTAGTGAAATCCTCTGAGGTTTGCCACTGATTTGCTGTGCGCGCCTGCGCATTGCACACCAAACACGAGCTTTGTGCGCAGGCGCACCACAGCCACTACCGCGCATCGTGGAAAAAGGAGGCTTAAGAAGGTAAGTAGAACAGTGAGGGGTGGGGAACAGCTGTGCCGTATGATTTAGATTTGTTAGAAAGCAGCATTTCCTGCTTTCTAGCGAATATAAATGTGCGGCACAGCTGATCCTTGGAAATAACTTTTATTACTACCGGTTCTCCCGAACCGGTGCGAACCGGTAGCATTTCACCCCTGGTAACGGGTAATATTTCACGTATTGTCAAATCTGCAACCATTCAGCTGTATTTTCTCCTAATGCTCCAGAATTTTGTAGTGATGCCTTCTTGTATATATAGGTAGTTCTTGACTTTAAAAAGTTCATTTTGTGACTGGTCAAAGTTACAAAGGCACTGCAAAAAGTGACTTACGGACCAGTTTTCCCACGTCCAACCGTTGCAGCTTCCCCAGTCAGCTGCCAAGCGCCTGAATTTTGATCACGTGACCTGCAACGGTCGTAAGTATGAAAAACGGTCAGAGGTCACTTTACTCTGAACGGTCACTAAATGAACAGTCGTTAAGCCGAGGGTTACTCGTACTACTTTAATAATATCCTGATCAACATCACATTTAGCTTTTCACAAGGCATGAATCGATTTTTATCCTGAAATAAGCAAACAGGCGACTTTGGGGATTTATTTTAAGCAGCAGCCACTCACAGAAGCTGGCCTTGGTAGGGGATGTGGGGGGGGGTGTGTGGAAATAAAAAATAAAAATACACAAGACAATTGACTCTAATTCCACTCCACAAAAAACGCATCGTTAAAATGAAGTGTGGCTCTTAAACGCCATACATTGATTTATTCGGAGGCCAGAGCCAATTTCACGGCTCCGATGACATCACCCCCTTTCTCTCCGCTGCCTGGTGTTGTGACTTGGGGGACCGTGAAGCCGTGAAAAGGAGGAGGAGGGAGGCCTTCTCTCCCCACCACCCCCGTTTAAACACACCGCCCGTACAGGGTTAAGAGTAAGGAGATTAGCGATTATCCTGGGGGGATCCATTCTTGAAATTCCCTACTGTTTTTAGCGTAGAAACAAGGCTAATGAGGTTCATGACATCCAGAGGCTGGAAAAAAAAAAATCACCCTTTTAAACCCTGCATTGCAGATAAAGCCCGGGTGGTGATAAATAGAAATGATGGGCCATTACAGGAGTGTTGAAATCTCTCAATGACTCAGAAAACGCAGCACAGGGGAGATATTTAGAACTACAATGCCAGCCCTGCTTCGGGCATTAAAAATCGTTTGGCCGTTAACGACTTTTCACAGCAGAACCGTTTCTACTTAAAAGCCACAGCGATAAGTTTGCCCCTGCTTAATAATCATAATTTTTTTTTTTAAACGGACGGGAATAAAAACAAACCAGAATTACACCACTCCCGTCCAACAGTATGCGACGGAGCGGGGAAATCTCACGTGCCAGTTGGACGAAGTTCAGAAATATTATTATTATTATTATTATTTGGCAGGCTTCTTCAAATTTGCAAATAGGTGCCGAAGGGGGAAAAAAAATTATGTCGGATTCCTAAAATGTTAAGCGTGAACAGTATACAACCTCCATAGAAGATATATTCCTGATAAACACACGCGTTTTCTTGTCCATCTAGTTCCAATCCAGCTCCAATCTGATCCGTAATTCGGGATAATTTTTTCTTCCATTGTCACCTAATACAGATAGTCCTCGACTTACAATCATTTGCTTAGGGGCTGTCTAGCAGGAGTGGGTTCTAAATTTTTTTACTACCGGTTCTGTGGGCGTGGCTTATTTTGTGGGCGTGGTTTGATGGTCATGTGACAATTCTTTAGGATTTAGCAGAGGTTCTGGACTACCAGGCTTTTAACTGCTTGCAGAGCTGTACTGGTCTACTCATTTGTTTTTGCAGGTACTGGTCTACTCATTTATTTTTGCAGGTACTGGTCTACTCATTTATTTTTGCAGGTACTGGTCTACTCATTTGTTTTTGGAGGCCCCGGTCTACCACCGCACTGCCTTTTAACACTGATCAGCTGTAGGGCGGCCCTTTGAAGCCCCACCGCAAGAGTTTAAACAGTTTTTTTTCTTTCTAGCCATCAGCTGGGACTCAGGAGGCAGCAATAGATTGGGGGTGGGGCCAAATAAAAGGTAAGAATAACGCGGGGGAGGGCGGGGGGGTAGAACCGGTTCGGTGATGTCATATCATCACTGCTACCGGCTCGGCGGAACCAGGAGGAACCCACCACTGGGCTGTCTGAAGTTACAATAACACTGAACAAAGGGGTTTATGGCCACTGTAGCATCCTCATGGTCACCTGATAAAATTTTGGGTGTTTGGCAACTGGCTCATATTTATGACAGATGTACTATGATCACCATCTATAACCTGCCCAGCAGTTTCCGACTAGGAAAATCAATGGGGGGGACGCCAGACTCGCTTAACGACCAACGGAAATTTGGGGGTCAATGGTGGCTGTAACTTGAAGTGAATACCATAGTCCGGTTCAAAATGCAAATGTCCTGTTTCGTATAGAACAGTGGTGGCGAACCTTTTGAATTGGGCCTCGATGGAAAAAGCAGCAGCCATCTTGGCTCCCATTTGACGTTCTGGATTTACACCTAATTAGGGGCAGTGCGGCGGCTCGGCAGTTAAGATGCTGGGCTTGTCAACTGGAAAGCCGGCAGCTCAAGTTCAAGACCCGGGTGCCGCGCGATGGGGTGAGCACCCATCCTCACTCTGGCTCCTGCCAACCTAGCTGTTCGAAAGCATGCAAATGCAAGTAGATAAATAGGTACCATTTCGATGGGAAGGTTAATAGTATTCGGTGATTCTTGTGCTGGCTACATGACTGCGGAAATGTCTTCGGACAGTCCTGGCTCGGTGGCCTTAAAATGGAGATGACCTCCACCTCCTAGAGTTGACTACGACTAGCGGAGACTCCTTATTTTAATGCAGAATGTCTGCATCTGTAGGTTATATTTCCCCGAATCTAAATTCTTGCTTTTCTCCAAATATACCAGGCTCAAAAATCAGGAAGAAACCTGAAACAGCTCTGGATTGCAGGTCATCACAACAGATAAACGAACTCTACAATCTAGCTCAAGTGTTTCTCACTCTCGGCAACTCGAAAACGTATGGACTTCAATTGCCAGAGGGAATTCTGGGAGCTGAAGTCCAGACATCTTCAAGTTGCCAAGGTTCAGAAACATTAAGCTAGTGATCTACCTGGAGCTAAAGCGAAGTAAGATTCTCCATGTTTACTCTTGAGTTGTTTGTTTGTTTTTTTAAACTGGCAGTTATATTGTAAGCCACCGTTAACTCTTGGTTTAAATGTTAAGTAATTCCTTACATGCCTTTTCGATCTAGACATCCTGTCCACAGTCCGCAGTATCTCCCATATGCCCTTCACTCTGTTAGGAACTGTAGCTGGAAAATTCATCTCATGAAACAGCTTTGTCGATTCCCATTTCTACTCTCTGGACCACGAATGGTCCACAAGAAACATTTAGGTGGCCAAGGAGACAGGAGAAGAATTCTAGATGAGTTCTCGGCCCCAAACTCACCCAGCGATGACCACTCCGTTGCAGGAATGCACGTCGCACAGAATGTTCCCGACTTCGTGTTGCAACTGGCTCATCACCCCGATGCGGTTCTGCGGAGCAAGACAAGGAAAAGCTGTAGGTTTGGTCTTAGCCCAGGAGTCGGCAACCTTAAAACACTCGAAGAGCCACAAAGGCCCTAACTGGAGGCCCCCCGTTCAATTCTGGAGCTGACCGGAAGTCCGGTTCCCCCCCATCCCACCCCCCACCATAGAGTCTCCTCCTAGCGTGGCATCCTTTTTCCTCTGCCGACCAGAAGTCTGGTTCCCCCACCATAGAGTCTCCTCCTAGCACAGCCTCCTTTTTCCTCTACCTGTTCTAACCGGAAGACCTATCAATTGTGGAGCCGACCAGCGACAGGGAGCCGCAGCAGAGGGATGAAAGAGCCACATGCGGCTCCAGAGCCGCGGGTTGCTGATCCCTGTCTTAACCCCTCAGGACCCCTACAACAGTGGTGCCTCCGCCTTTTGGGCACCAGGGACTGGTTCCACGGAGAGAGTTCTTTCTGTGGACTGGAGAGGACGTCGTTATGCATGCTGCCTGCATCCCAATGGATGGGGCTTCGCCTGTATGCACGGCCCAGTTTCTGGCATGCTGCGGACGGGTGCCGGTCCATGGACTGAGGGTTGGGGACCTCTGCCTTACAAATCTGCCTCCCCAGGACTGTGGCTTTGGACATTCAAGTGGTATCCCAGCATCTCGAGATTGACTCAACCTTCCATCCTTCTGAGGTTCGTAAAATGAGGACTCAAGATTGTTGGGGACAATATGCTGTGTACACCTGTGCTTAGAAAGGGCTGGAACTAGGTGGCTCAGTGGCTAAGACACTGAGCTTGTTGATCAGGAAGGTCAGCAGTTCGGCAGTTCGAATCCCTAGTACAGGTCTCCTGTGTGAGCAGGGAGTTGGACTAGATGACCTCCAAGGTCCCTTCCAACTCTGTTACTGTTACTGGAAAGCACTGTGAAGCGGTATATGGGTGTAAGTGCTATTGGTATTGCTCTGTCTGGCTGTCCATCCATCCGTCCATCCATCATCTATCTACTCAACTCAGTGGTCAGAATGCAGTATTGCAGGCTAACTCTGCCAACTGCCAGTAGTTCGATTCTCACCAGCTCAAGGTCGACTCAGCCTTCCATCCTTCCGAGGTCGGTAAAATGACGACCCTGATTGTTTTGGGGGCAAGAGGCTGACTCTATAAACCACTCTGTAAAGCACTGTGAAGCGGTGTATAAGTCTAAGTGCTATTGCTATCGAGCATAGAAACATAGGAAAGGACCTCGGAGGTCTCTAATCCAATTCCCTACTCAAGGCAGGAGAACTTAAATGATCCCGGTCAAATGGTTGTCCAATCTATGTTTGAAAACTTCCACTGTTGGAGCACCCATCACTTCTGAAGGCAAGCTGTTCCACTGATGAATTGTTCTCACTGTTGGGAAATTTCTCCTTATTTCTAGCTTGGATCTCTCTTGGAGAAGCTTATAGGACAGTGATAGCTAACCTTTTCCGGACAACTGCCCAAAGCGCGCCCAAAAACCCAAAATGCAATACGTGCACCCCCCTGTGCATTCGGCCTGCGCATGTGCGTGCATTCCCCTGTACATGCCCCGCCCCCCCCATGCACGCATGTGTGGGCGCCTGTTGTGGCCCACCAGCAGCTTGCACGGATCGTGGCTGATCCTGATGACGAGGAGGCTGGTGTGATGTTGCGCCAGCAGCCTGCACAGCCGGCGCTCACGTCGGACAGCGAGGAGGCTGAAGAGGATGTGGTGCCAGAGACAGAGAGACTCAGCCAGGGCCTTCAGAACCTCCAGAGGCTCCTTCAAGTGGAAAGAGCGAAGTGGAGGAGCCTCTCCTCAATGCTCGAGCACGCAGGGCTGCCAAAAGGCAGGAGTGGCTACTCAGGAGGAGGAGGTCTAACCGAGAGTAGGGCTTGAGGATAATTGGCCACTCCCTTAGCCTATTTAAGTCGCACGCCATTAGTAAGTTTCTTGCTGGAAACAACTTGTAATTATCATCAGAGCATTGCTGGAAAAGTCTTATCGTATCTTGTTTTCTGGGCTGGTTGCCAACCTTTGCCGGACTTTGGTTTATTCTTGCTACTTAATAAATTTGATAAGGACCATTGGTGTGTGTCAATATCCTCGGAAATCCGGAGCTGGGGCAGAACAGCGCCCCCCAGCAGAGACCCAACGACCAGTTGGCTGGGGGAAGGTGCACACACATGCGTGGTGGAGCCGAACAGGGGCAACAGCTCACGTGCCCCACAGAGAGGGCGCTGCGTGCCACCTGTGGCACACACGCAATAGGTTTGCCATCACGGTTATAGGAATTATGAAATGAGAAGTTCTTCTCCCTTACTTTCCAGTTGGCTCTCAGAGTCTGTTCCTTTTCCCGACATTCCCGGAGGGTCTGTTTCCAACAAGGGAAGTCTGAGATTTGACTGTCAGACAGATAACCTTCCTGTTGACAAAGCCGGAACCACAGGACTTGGTCTTCAGCCAGTACCTTCCACGTTCGGCTCACCTAAAAGTAGGACAAATGCTCATGGCTGAGAATTCTCACACAGGGGGAAAAAAAATAACACCACGATGCTCTCAGTAACCATGGTGTGCATCACCCCAAAACAGGGCCTGCATTAACGTTAAATTAGGATTTTTTTAAAAAAAAAATCTTAAATGTACCGTATTTTTCAGACTATAAGACGCACCTAAATTTAGAAGAGGAAAACAACAACAACAACAAAAAAGTTTTTGGCCTACCTTTTTTGGGGGGGCTTTCTTTCGGCCCTTTTCCAGTCTTTTTCCAGGGCTTTTTTCGGCCCATTTTCAAGGTTTTTTATAGCCCATTTTTGTGGGTTTTTTCGGCTCGTTTTTTTTCTTTTTTCTTTTGGCCTGTTTTCGAGGCTTTTGGAGCCATTTTCGAGGCTCCTTTCAGCCCGTTTTCGAGGCTTTTTTTGGCCCATTTTTTCCAAAAAAGGGCTGAAAAAAGCCTCAAAACAGGCTGAAAAAAGCCCTGAAAATGGGCTGAAAAAAGCCCCGAAAACGGGTCAAAAAAAGCCTCAAAAACGGGCCGAAAAAAAGTCTCAAAAACAAGCCCCCAAAGCCTCAAAAACGGGCTGAAAAAAGCCTAAAAATGGGCAAAAAAAAAAAAAAAAAAAGGCCCGAAAAAGGCAGAAAAAAGGCCCGAAAACAGGGTGTGCAGAGGCCCAAAAAATAGCCGGTGGGTGGGCGGGGCTTCGGCCATATTTGGTCTATAAGACGCAGAGAGATTTTCACCCCTTTTGGAAGACAAAAAAGTGCGTCTTATAGTCCGAAAAATACGGTATATTACCTAGTTGGGTCATGAAAAGTCTGCAAGAAAACACCCAAGCTTAGAGAGCACGAAGGAAGGGACTCCTAATTTCAACCCTGAGCTACAAATATTCTCCTTTCTTGGTAAAACATAAACGGCATAGCCAAGATCAGGGATCCAAAACACGGAAACACTTCCTTTCTTCTTCTTTTTTTTTTAATGATTTTATTCATAAACATTTTTGAATACAGTGTAATGTCAGGGTATACCATTCACAAGAAGAAGAAAAAAAAGGCCAGATAGAAAATAGTAATAAATATTAACACATGAACTAATGACAGTAATAACAATATAATAACACATGTACCGAGAACAATAGTAATAATATAACCAAATAATTTTAACTAAATTTCTTTTTATACTGGCTTATTTACATTTTTGCTAATTACGATTGCAGTTATAATACATCTCTATTTTTAATACAAACATTCATAGTCTTTCTTCTTCTAATTTCCTTTTGTCTCTAACCACTCATAAAATCTATTCCATATTAAATAATATTCTCTGTCTTCTTTATCTTTTATTTTTAAAGTTAGTCTGTCCATTTCAGCACAGTCTAAAATTTTTTGAATTCCTTCCTCATCTGACGGGGGGGACAGGGTTGTGTTCTCATTTTTCCAGTATTTAGCAAATATAATCTTTGCTGCCGTCAATACATGTAAAACTAAATGTGTTTTACATATATTGTTTATCAAAACAATATATCATGGACACACTTTCTTTCTGCCCCCCAAAAGTTAAGATTCAATGTTATTTACTCAAGGAATTCAGAGAAGAGCAACAAAGATGATTAGGGGACTGGAGGCTCAAACATATGAAGAACGGTTGCAGGAACTGGTTATGTCTAGTCTGATGAAAAGAAGGCCCAGGGGAGACATGATAGCAGTCTTCCAATATCTCAGGGGCTGCCCCAAAGAAGAGGGAGTCAAGCTCTTCTCCAAAGCACCTGAGGGCAGGACAAGAAGCAATGGGTGGAAACTCATCAAGGAGAGAAGCAACCTGGAACTAAGGAGGAATTTCCTAAGAGTGAGAACAATTAATCAGTGGAACAATTTGCCTCCAGAAGTTGTGAATGCTCCAACACTGGAGGTTTTTAAGAAGATGTTGGATAAACATTTGTCTGAAGTGGTGTCGGGTTTCCTGCCTAAGCAGAGGGTTGGACTAGAAGACCTCCAAGGTCCCTTCCAACTCTGTTATTCTATTCTATTCTATTCTATTCTATTCTATTCTATTCTATTCTATTCTATATTCTTATTCTATTCTATTGTTCTGTTCTGTTCTGTTCTAATTCAAACTGAAGATACCCACATCTCACTGAATTCTTAAATTCCAATTTGTTTACACATTTTAAAGGCAGACTAGCAAGGGGAAGAAAAAAAAAAACAATCTCAGGGAAGCCAATTTCCAAACAGCTCCAAAATGATCATTGCTGAAAAACTCTGCAGAAGAACAACAGACACACACACACAACAAAAACAAAACCGAAAATAAGCCCGGAAGTGTTTTTTTTCCCCCCAACTTTTCTCAAAAATAAATAAAAAATAAAAAATAACCATGGCAAATGATAAAAGGGACGTAAACACAGCGAAGCCCGGTGCCAGGGGCACAGACGGGCAAGTCTAGAGAGTGACACTCAAAAGGCTGGAGATTGGTTGCCTCTGGTTACGAAGACGGAAAAGCCGGAGATATGAAGTGTTGCTATGAAAATCTCGGTTATGCAAAGGAAGCGAGCGAGGCGGCCTTCCCCCAAACACAATGGCTCGCTCGCTCGGTCGTTTACGGCCTAATGAGATAGCAACGTGAAACAGGCTGCAGCCTGCAGGTAAAACATGACATTTTTAATCTCTCACAATAATTACATCCTTGTTGGGTTGGGGGGGGGAGAGAGAGAGAGAGAGAGAGAGAGAATGAATTTTCCTTGCAAAATTCAGGGGAAAAGATGCTTGCCCTACCTGTACAGGTAGTCCTCGAGTTACGACTGTAACGGAGGCTGGAAGCCATAACAGTCATTAAACAGGTTGGTCATGTGACTTGACTTTTTTTTTTTTTAACAGCGGTCGTTAACCAAACACAGCGACTTTGGCGTTGGTTTGCTATGGGCGTGGTTTTCTCATATAGGTCATAATAGAGTTGGAAGGGACCTTGGAGGTCTTCTAAATTCAACCCCCCCTGGTCAAGCAGGAGACCCCATACCATTTCAGACATAACTTCTGGTGGCAAGCTGTTCCACTGGTTAATTGTCCTCACTGTTAGGAAAGTTTCTCCTTAATTCCAGGTTGTTCAATGAATCTGCAGCGATTCACTTAACAACTTGGGGACATAAAGGTTGCAAGATGGGGGCAAAACTCAGTTGAGAGCTGCCTCGCTTAGCAACGGAGATTTTGGACTCCTCTCCGGTCGTTATGTCGAGAACTAGCTGTACTCAGCTCTGACCTGCTTAGCTCATTCCGTTGACCAAGCTTGAGTTTTTTTTCTATACAACCCTATCCAATTCTCAAAAACTGTCTAGAGAGCCACTGAGTGTTTCCAGAAGTGGTATGCCGTTGCCTCCTTCTCAGGGCTGAGAGAGAGGGACTGGCCCCAGTTTACCCAGTTGCCCCCTGCCTAAAGTAGGACCAGAACTCACCATCTCCCAGTTTATAGCCTTGACAGTTTAACCATGACACCAAACAATCTCTCTCAATGCACAGTGTATGTGGTCCCTCGCTCAATAGTAGTAACCGCGAGAGGAATCTTGGAGTCCTAGTGGACAACCATTTAAATAGGAACCAGACGTGTGCAGCAGATGCCAAAAAAGCCAACACAGTTCTAGGCTGCATCAACAGAGGGATAGAATCAAGATCACATGAAGTGTTAATACCATTTTATAAGGCCTTGGTAAGGCCACACTTGGAAAATTGCATTCAGTTTTGGTCGCCACAATGTAAAAAAGATGTGGAGACTCTAGAAAGAGTGCAGAGAAGAGCAACCAAGATGATTGGGGGACTGGAGGCTAAAACATATGAAGAACGGTTGCAGGAACTGGGTATGTCTAGTTTAATGAAAAGAAGGACCAGGGGAGACATGATAGCAGCCTTCCAGTATCTCAGGGGCTGCCCCAAAGAAGAGGGAGTCAAGCTATTCTCCAAAGCACCTGAAGGCAGGACAAGAAGCAATGGGTGGAAACTCATCAAGGAGAGAAGCTACCTAGAACTAAGGAGAAAATTCCCGACAGTTAGGACAATTAATCATTGGAACAACTTGCCTCCAGAAGTTGTGAATGCTCCAACATTGGAAGATTTTTAAGAAGATGTTGGATAACCATTTGTCTGAAGTGGTGTAGGGTTTCCTGCCTAAGCAGGGGGTTGGACTAGAAGACCTCCACGGCCCCTTTTCAACTCTGTCTATTCTATTCTATTCTATTCTATTCTATTCTATTCTATTCTATTCTATTCTATTCTCTTCTATTCTATTCTATTCTATTCTATTCTATTCTCTAGATGTACAGAAAACACTCACTTTCCCACTAAGAGGAAGTGGGAATACTCTCACCGTTCCATCTACCTTCGTGGTCGCAGTGGTTCAACTTTACTAAAACCAGGCCAGCACCGGACAGATAGGTAATGCTGGATGTTCAGGAAAACCTCAGCTCTTGTGCCACTTTTTCCTGTTTTCACACAACAACAACGTTTTTCAGAGTGGAAACCGTTCAACGCCGTCTGTTTTTCCCACTTGTGGGCTGCGGCGGTGTTGTTTTAAAAGACAGGGCTGCCTTATGCAAAGAGGCAGCTGTTTGGCAGGAGTAAAATACTCAGAGTATTTAAAAGGAGAGGCTCTCTCTCTTCTCTCGTGCCCAGTTTCCACGGGGGAGGTTATTTGCGTTGACGAGGCTGAGATTTGTGAACTCGGTGGCAAACAAAAAAGGATTTTTCCAACGGGCGGCCTCGTTTGAAAGTAAAGATGGGGCAAAGCAGGAGAAGAGAAATCTTTTCAAGTCGCTTCTTCTTCTTCTTCTTTTGGGAAGGGGACCCCCTGAATTTAAGCAAGGGAAGCTCTTTTTAAGAAACCCCCCTCAAAGGACCGAGTCACGGAAGGGAAGGGTACGAATAAAAACACGGCTATTTTATCCCCGCTGTGATTTTAATCAGGTTACTCTCAAGCCCTGCGGGCTTTATCAGGCTGAAATTTCTGAGGACGCCTCCAAGTTGAAATGGCCCATTAAGAGGCTAGAAACTGGCACAGCCGAGCCGATGGCGGCTTTGTCAAGTGAGGAGCAGCTGCAAAACAACAACACCACACACACACACACAACCCTAATGGAAAGTGTCTTAAGCACTTTGTACGCTGTCGTGAGCGGCTCCATTTAACGCAGGCAGCCGCACGCCTTTGGCGCCAACCCAAACCCAGGAGTGGCTGCTGGAGGCGACAACAGGTGAGAAGCTCAGTGCCAAAAGGCCTGAGAGAGCCCCCCACTCACCCACCCACCCACCTCCCCTTGGCTAGAATTAGAATTAGAATAACAGAGTTGGAAGGGACCTTGGAGGTCTTCTAGTCCAACCCCCTGCTTAGGCAGGAAACCCCACACCACTTCAGACAAATGGATGTCCAATCTCTTCTTAAATTTTCCAACTTTCCATTTTCCAAATAGAATTGGGTGAGGGGGCACTCAAAAGTTGTGACGTGCCTTGGGTGTGTACATGTGTGCCCTGTAAAGATATGTTGGTTACTTTAATATAATTGGGGTGTGCTAGGTAAGTACAGGTAAGTCCTCGACTTACGGCCACAATTCAGCCGCAATATTTCTGTTGTCCAGCGAGGCCTTTGTCAAGTGAGCTTCGCCCCGTTTTAGGTGCCTCAGTCGTTAAGTGAATCCACACCGTTAATAAGTTGGCAAACTGGTTGTTAAGTGAATCTGGCTTTCCCTACTGACTTTGCTCGTCAGGAGGTCGCAAAAGGGGGAAGGGGGGAATCACGTGACCTTGGGACACTGCGACGGTCATTAAGTGTGAACCAGTGTGCCAAGCGTCTGGATTTGGATCGCGTGAATACAGGGATGCTGCAAAAGTCGTAACTGTGGAAAAAAAGGTCATAAACCACTTTTTCATAAGCCACTTTTTTTCCGGTGCCGTTATAACTTCGAACAGTCACTAAGCAAACTGTTGTAAGTTGAGGACTATCTGTAGTACATAAATATCGTAACTTTTTAAAGATTTTGTTTGTTTCATTCACGTGATCGCCATTTCCTATGTTCCCAGCCCATTCCCGACAAGCAAACTCAACTGGATTTGATTCACATCCACATGTTTTGTTAGCATATTCATGTCTGGGAAAGACATGTTAACAAGGTCAGCCAATGTATAGGCATAGCAACTAAGTCAGCCAATGAGGGCTGTTTGGGAGCTGAGACAGACTGGAGCTAGGGAGTATCTTAGTCTGCAGCAACCGAGTCTGTGCAGAGAAACTGAAACTAGTCTGCTCTGCTGAAATGAAACTTACTGTTCTCTCCTGCCTTGTGTTTTGCTTGTAACTGCTACTATGTTGAAGAAGGATCTATATTGGTATTGTTCATTTATCTTCATGTATTTTATGTATATAAAGAAGTTAATGAATCCTGCTGCATCAGTTATCTGTGTGTGCTTTTCTGGATTTAATGTCTGCAACAAACTCTTGATACGTTTTACTTAACAGCTGCAGTGATTCGCTTAACAACCCTGGCAGGAAAGGTCGTAAAATCAAGCACGACTCACTGAACAACCGCTTTCCTTAGCAACGGTAATTCTGATCCCAAATGTGGCCATAAATAGAGGACTATCTGTACTAGCTTATTCATCAGCAGATTTTGGGTTCTCTGGTTCTGACCCAAAGGAGGATTTTATTTAATATAAACCCCCTCCCCCACAGAATTACCACAGCCCCCTGAAGGACAGAATTCAGGAAGGAGCATTCAGACCTGACTAATTTCTTGCTTCATGAATTATTTACTTTTAAAAATCTTCCAAAAGATTTCAATTTCCAGCTGCAAAATCATTCTCACCCTCTCCTATTTTTATACAACCGTTGTGATCTATCTTATCCCTACCTACATAGTAGTGGCCAAAATTGTGGGAACCTTTTGGGAAAAGTGTATTTTCTAAAACTAGCTAATAACACCACTTTTGTTTGGACTAGTACCATAAAATTATATTTCAATGGAAAGAGAATTTAATCAAGAATGTAATGCAATAACTTTTATGAAGGAGTTGCTATCAGAATAGCAGTTACAGTATAAAGAAGAAAAGTGAAACACGTAGAAAAAATGAGATGTACAAAAATTATCACCATAGAAAAAATGAGATATACAAAAATTATCACCATAGAAAAAATGAGATATACAAAAATTATCACCATAGAAAAAATGAGATATACAAAAATTATCACCATGTCAGTTAATACTTAGTTAGCGTGAATTACGGCCTTACAAAGTCTTCCCATGGAGTGAACCAAGTCTTTTAGTTCTGCAGCTATGATAATGTGAAACCAAGATTGAATGATTGCTTCTATTAACTGGGTTTTATTGCTGACTCGCTTCTGACTAACATGTTTCTTTAGTCGACTCCATAGATTTTCAATTGGGTTAAGGCTGGGCAATTCCCAGGCCATTCCAGCAGTGGAATAGGATTATCTTGAAACTCCCCCCAAAAAGTGGCTGTTATTAGCCATCAAACCTCAAAAATACACTTTTCCCAAAAGGTTTCCACAATTTTGGCCACCACTGTAGTTAGGAGACACAGAAAATCCCAATTAAGAAACCACAAACAGAACTCTCTTCTAAAACTAAGAAGCTCCCTGCTCCTTGATTCAACGCAGAGATTTTGAATTACAGTCAAGAAAGGCACATCCTTCGAAGGTGTGAACTCACAACTACTAACAGAAACTTTTCTTTGCTGTTCCCGACAAGAAAGATGTAACTTAAACAGGGGATCGATGCTGGCAAGGAGGGAAGCACAGGGTTGTGTCATTTTTCTTGTGTGTGACAATCTCAGTTCAATTCTGCAGATTTTGAAGAAGGGAGTTATTTTCTGGTTGGTGGTTTTGTTTTTTTTTTCTGCTGCTATCAGTCAGTTACCAATTTGGCAACCATCCAAGCTTGAAAACTCTCTCTCCAGGGGACTCCTCTCCTAAGCTAACCAGTCCCATTAACTAGCAGAGTTTTATGAACGCTGCTAAGCGATCTTTTTTTTTTTAAAAAAAAATAAAAATAAAAATCCAGGACAAAGGCAATGAAAAGACAGCAGGGCATTGCATTTAGCCGAAGAACGATGCCGTCTTTTTAAAAAAATCAAAAGCCACCGAGAGAAAAATGAAAACGGTCTCTTCGTATTTACGGCTTTGCTTTTTTTTGCTCAATCACTTTGGCTTACCTCATCTCACTTCAAAAGCCTTGTAAAACCCTAGATCTTTGCTTGGCCCTCCACCATCTCCCAAATTATCCAGGGACCGCTTCTGCAGGCGTTGTCCTTGTAGTGCATGATAAAGCCATTTACAAAGAAACACACGGATAAGAAGAAGAAAAAAGTTTTGGGAAACTAAGAAGGTTGATAGAGGCAGAGCTATCCTGTGTAAAAGACGATCGGTACAGTGGGAAAATATTTCTCAATCTAAAGAAACAGAACCCAAAGCTATAAAAACAGCAATTTAGTCTGCTGCGCCACCAAGGCTCCTTAATGACTGTTTAATGACTGTTCAAAGTTACTGAAAAAAAATGACTTATGACCATTTTTCACACTTACCACCACTGCAGCATTTCCTATGGTCGTAAGATCTACATTCAGATGCATGATAACTGACTCACATTTATGACATTTGCAGTGTCCCGGTGGGGATGGCTGGGTGTCATGTGATCCCTTTTTGTGACAAGCAAAGTCGATTGGGAAGCCAGATTCACTTAATGACGGCGTTACTAATGTTAACAAATGCAACGATTCGCTTAACAACTGCGGCAAGAAAAAAAATCGTAAAATGGGACAAAATTCACTTAACAACCATCTTGCTTAGCAGCCGAAACTTGGGAGATTACTTGTACGAGTCAACAGCATGATTTGATTATCAAAAATGCAAACACCGTTGCAGACTGCATCCAAAGAAGGATCATTTCCCAGTCAAAGGCACCAAAATGCCCATTTTATTTAGTTTTTAACCGTCCTTGCTCCAGCTCCTTCCTAGCAGTTCGAAAGCATGAATGTGTGAGTAGATAAATAGGTACCACTTCGGTGGGAACGTAACAGTGCTCTGTGATGTCGCGCCAGCCACATGACCGCAGAAATTTCTTTGGACCGTACTGGCTCAATGGCCACGAAACCAAGTGGACCACTGCCCCCTATCGCCAGCAATGACCAGCGGAATAAAATCCGCAGCAACTCCTATAGTTTTAAGACAAACTGGAGTGAGGTGGGGAGGAATCCCTCACCATCCCAGAAACCAGAATAACAGTGACAGGAAAAGCATTTCTGGCTGAATGTTAGGAAAATCTTAGCGATGAAGAGAGTTTGACAAGATTCGATTTCCCTCCGCTGGATTTGTTTAAAGTTGAACGTCCTTCTACCAGGAATACTTTAATGATCTAGAAGCTGGCACGGAGGGTGCGATGGGACTGTAGGGGTACAAATGACCTTCTCCCAATTATTTCATTCCATAATATAAACTACAAAGGGCTGAACCAAAATGCAAAATTCCTGCATATGTATGAGATAATTTCCCCTCACCTCCAATTTCTGTTTATCTTACGAAAGAGAGGGTGTGTGTGTGCAGGGCTAAAAAATGTCAAATGAAGTTACAGCTCCAATGTTAATTTGAAGGCCAAACAAACAATTTGTTTTGTTTGTCCCTTTTTCTCTCTCGAAGGCCTCGAAGTGTCATCGCTCAATTGCGCTGCTTTTTTCCCTCCCTTCCATTACCCCCTGCTGAATTTGCCACCGGAAACAGAGTAAGGCTTACCTGAGCACACCTGCCCAGGTCCAGTCTGCCAAGGGACTGAAATATTTTTAACGCCAATTCGTAAGGCAACTGCACGTCAAAGAAGGGAACTTCGTTGATTTCGTTCTGAAAAGAAGTAAAAGGGAAAAGAAAAGAAGAGGCTTTATTTTATGGCTTGCAAACGTTTCTCTCCTGACAATGGGAAGTAAGTGATGGCTAAGTTGGGGTTATCTAGGGCAGGGGTCTCCAACCTTGGCAACTTTAAGGCTTGTGGTCCACAAGTCTTAAAGCTGAAGTCCACAAGTCTTAAAGTTGATCTAAGGGGTGACACAGAATAGAATAGAATTTTTATTGGCCAAGTGTGATTGGACACACCAGGAATTTGTCTTTGGTGCCTATGCTCTCAGTGTACATAAAAGAAAAGATATGTTCATCAAGAATCATAAGGTACAACACTTAGTGATAGTCATAGGGTACAAATAAGCAATCGGGAAATAAGGTACAAAGGAATCATGAAGTCCACAAGTCTTAAAGTTGAAATGAAATGAAAATGGGGAAGGAAGAAGAGCCTGAGAAAGAAAGAGAAAGAGAGGTTTAAAGGGGGAATCAAGAATAGAATGAAAGAGAGAAAGTTCAAGGAGGGAAGGGAAGGGAGAAAATGGGAGGAAGGAATAGAATGGGATGGGATGGGATGGGATGGGATAGGATAGAATAGAATAGAATAGAATAGAATAGAATAGAATAGAATAGAATAGAATAGAATAGAATAGAATAGAAATAAGGTACAAAGCAATCATGAAGTCCACAAGACTTAAAGTATCATAAACATATAATATATGTTATAAACATATTATAACTTTTCTCTTCGGCTATTTAAAAGTAGCAGAAACTGAGGAACGTGAAATGGGTTTCCCCCCCAAAAAAAGGAAATCAGGAAATTTTAACAGATTAAAATTGGGTAAAACCTAACAAAACAAACTGATTTTTTTTTTTATATATGCTGCATGAATATATCTCAATCCATTTTTTCCGACATCCACAAGTTGCTGAAATATTTATTAAAGGAGGGAGGATCAATAAAGTGCATTTAGGATCCCTCAGGGCTGGAGGACTTGTCAAAAAGGGATTCACCTTGGAAGGGGAAGATTTAACCTCAAATCTCCTCTCTAAAGACCCCATTGGAAACTTCTACACCTTCTGGTATCAAGAGCTTCAACATTAATGACGATTTGGCCCACAAAGAAAGTTTAACGGTTTCTAAGCAAGCGTTTTTTGGTTTTTTTTCCTTCCTGGTTTTTTAAGACAGGAGCAAGAAAAGGAAACCAAAGTACGGGTAGTCCTCGACTTACGACTACAACTGAGCCCAACATTTCCATCGCAAAGCAAGACGGTGAAGTCAGCTTTGCCCCGTTTTATGACCTTTCTGGCCATAAAAACTGGACTGCCATATGTCGGAAATGGTGTGGGGGTCTCTTGTTTGGGCGGGGGGTTGGACTAGATGATCTACAAGATCCCTTCCAACTCTGTTAATCTGTTATTATTCTGTTATTCGGAAGTGGTGGGAGCTTCATCACTGGAAGCTTTCAAGAAGAGTCTGGAGGGGGGTTGGACTAGATGACCTACAAGGTCCCTTCCAATTCTGTTAATCTGTTAAAAAGTTGACGTTTGAGGTTACTATTTTATTGTACTGCACCAATGGAGTCAAAAGTCAATGCTTTTCCCCCCCTTTTTCTCCTTTTCTTTCCTTCACTTTTCCCTTCCCTAACTTCCCTACTATTTACTTCTGTATTTTTTTTTGTATGCAATATTATAAACTAATTAAAATTGGTTTTTTTAAAAAAAAAGCCTGAATAATTAAATCACAACCAAATAAATAAGTAACATCATTTCTCTAGAGTGGCCAAAGATGGCTAACTACACCTCAGTCTGCTGAGTGGATGGTGAGATGTAAAATCTAATCCATGTTTCCCAGACTACAATCAATATTTATCCAACACATTCAACCAAATGCAAACAAGCCACGTTATAATTTATTGTGGTATATCTTGTCCTTGGTTGTCCCTAAATCTTATGGTGGAAAAAAGAATTCAAGCAGTAAACAAGAAAACTAAACTCCGTCCCAAGACATGGGCGCTGCTACAAATAAGCCCATAAATGGAATAAATTACTTGAATTCAATAACTTGAATAAGTTACAATGAAATAAGTTACTTGAATTCAGAGGATTTCTGAGTGGCGTCATTACCTTTATTGTATGCCTATTGTTAGATCCGAATACCAATTAGCACAAAATACAAAATAAATAAATAAATAAATAAATAAATAAATAAATAAATAAATAAAGAATGCAAAAAAGGAAGGGAGGGGTTTCTCTGGTTAAAACAGCTCCATTTTTTTTTTTTAAAGTGATGGACAAAATCCAAAAGATAAACATTGGCCTCTGCTCCTTGGAGACGCACATTTACACATCAGCGCACTAATGGAACTCTAGTTCGGTAAATGGATTAATTCGCTGCCATCAGAAATTTAATCTGTGGCTTTTTAGAAGGAGCGAAAGAAAGAAAAGTGCAGTTAACCAGAATGGAGAGAAACACACTCCTTTTAAACACTGCATGCATTGTGTTTTAAAAAAAAAAAATCTATCGGAGCTAACTAAGGTAGGTACTTTAGGGGAAAAAAACGTAACAAGCAATTCTTGACTGTGGAAGCATAAGTATGAGCCCTATATACATATTTCAAATCGATATTTGGATATTTAGATTTAGATATTTAGATTTAAACACGGATACCTACTTCGTTTATGTTTATAACTAGACCTGCTATCTTGTACATATTTGACAAATAAATAAATAATCCTGAATAAAGTAACTGAAAGGGCATGGAATGGCACTCTAGCCCCTACTGATACTGTCAACGTAGAACAACTTTATATTTACATTACTGTTTTTATATTTAATTGTTTTTACATCTTTACGCTTTATTACACTGTAGGCTGCCCAGAGTCGCTTCGAACCGTGAGATGGGCAGCATATAAATTTAATAAATAAATTCTGCCTCCCACCATCCCTGTTCCCATTGCTCTGAGAACATGGAAGGGTAAAATTGCAAATGACAGAGCTGCAGAAGCCAAAATTCTGTTATTCCTCTGACATATTCTCTCCCCCCACACACACACTTCCCAAAAGTGGAGCATAAAGCTGTCTATTTTTCCCTTCCACTAAAACTGTTCAGAGAGAAAAGGAGGTGAGGAGTGGATAAGATTGCTTACTAATTATCTGATCTTGCTTGAAAATTTGCTACCTCCTAATCTGGGTTTTTTTTTCCCCCGTCACTATCTCTATTGTGCCACTCAGGTTCACAGCTTACTAGATTTCTTTAACAAAAGAAACGTTTTCCTCAATTTAAAACAACTGCACTGTCAAAAAAAAATAATAATAATTTGTGAGCGAGAACTCCCACTATGGTGATGCCTTTGACTTAACAACCATTCATGTAATGATTGTTCCAAGTTATAATGGCACTGAAAAAAGTGACTTATCAACATTTTTTCACACCTACAGCTGTTGCAGCTTTCCCATGGTCACACATGGTCAAAATTAGGATGTTTGGCAACTGGCTCAAATTTATGAAGGTTGCAGTATGCCATGTCACCTTTTATGACCTTCTTACAATGGGGAAGCCAGCTTCACTTAACTACCATGTTTCTAACTTAACAAGTGCAAGTGATTCACTTAACAACTGTGGGGAAAAAAGATCACATCATGGAACAAAACTCAACTCTCTTGCTTAGCCATAGAATTTTTGGGCTGAATTGTGGCTGTTAAGTCAAAGGCTAGCTGTACAACAGTGGTGTATACACAACAGCAAACTTAAAAAACTTTCACACACGTCAAACCACCAACCACGGTTTACTAAGTATGGTATGATGACAGAATTCCACAACAGTATCGTTCACAATCAGTCAGTATGGTGCAAGTAATATGTAGTTGAATTAGGACCGGGGAGATCTGGGTTCAGATCACACAAAAACCATGCTTCCAATGCACCTACACAAGGAACCATGTAACTAAGATAAAAGCATCTTTGAGTCATATGCCATTGCCATTAACTTCATCCTGTCTCTTATTGTCCATGCTCATATCATCCTCAGCTACACCGAACAGATGGCTTTTTTTCCCCAACCTACCCCAATTCCAACACCACACAACCTATTCACTTGCAAGTTATTGAAGGACCAAGAGTAACTGGGAATAGAGGCAGAAAAGGACACACAATGCCAATGGGAAATATCACCCATCTCCTCCCACTTATGACGGCATGACTGTAACTTTGTTGCTGTATCCTTACGATTTATATTGATTGTTTCCTAGTATGATTTGATTGCTTATGACTATCATTAAGTGTTGTATCTTTTTATTCTTGATGAATGTATGTTATTCTCTTTATGTACACTGAGAGCGTATGCACCAAAGGCAAATTCCTTGTGTGTCCAATCACACTTGGCCAACAAAGAATTCTATTCTATTTCACGCCATTGGCTTATTCCGACAACTCCAAGGGGTGCAGAGCCATAGGATCTCACCATCCCCACTGATTCAGTGACTTTGGGCCACCCCTTCACCCTCTCAGTCCAATTAATCTTCTGAAGGGATGGGGGGGAGGAGCTTTAATTTTGGGGTGATGATGAACATGATCTTAACCTCCTCTCTAAAAATTTAGGCAATCATATGCAACAATGAAAGGCAACAAATACGGTACAGTATGTCGAAGCCTCCTGCCTGTTGGGAGAGCATCCCCAAGTGAAATCTGCCTTAAAAAATCAGGTTTGGTTTGATTTTTTCCCCCAGTGCGGGAGTGGGAGGCTGTTTTCCTTCTTTCCTCTTTCCTCCTCCTTCAGCACTTATGTGTATCTATCAGGCTATTGATTTTACATTGTGGGTTTCTACATGTTGCTTTGTTGTGGGGCCCTTATTGATTTTTAGTGTTATTGAATAATACTTTTTAAAAATCCGTTTCATTAGAATATAATATATAAATATAATAAATATATGAATATAATAAAATACATTTACATATATGTACACATACACAATAGATATATACATACATACAAAGATAAATAGAGATAGATAGATAAGATCGAGATAGATAGATGGGTGGATAGATAGATGATAGACAGATAGACACAGACGGATACAGACAATAAATAGATAGATGGATAGATATAGACAAACAGATGATAGATAGATAGATAGATAGATAGATAGATAGATAGATAGATAGATGGAATGGACGGATAGACAGACAATGGATAGATATAGATAGACGGATACAGACGATAAGATAGAGATAGAGAGAGAGAGAGAGAGACAAACAGATAATAGATAGATAAATAGATAGATATAGATAGACAGATATAGACAGACAGATATAGATAGATAGATAGAAATAGATAGATAGACAGACAATAGATAGATATAGATATAGATACAGATGATAGATAGCAGATAGATAGATATAGACATGATAGGTAGGTAGGTACATAGATGATAGATAGATAGATAGATAGATAGATAGATAGATAGATAGATGGGGTGGATAGAGAGAATAGATAGATGATAGATTGATAGACAGAGATAGATAGATAGACAGAGGGAGGTAGGTAGGTAGGTAGGTAGATAGATGGACGGATGAACGGATGGATGGAGAGAGACACACTCACCCACACATAAAACAAAAAATAAAAAAAAAATTACGAAAGCAAATAAGGAGGAAAAGCAGGAGAGGGGAGAAAAAAAAAAAAGACCTTGACCTCCGACTCCCTTCGGTGCAGCGGAATAAACCATCGGAATAAGTAACCCCCCCTCCCCCCACCCACCCCCCCAAAAAAGCGGGACCAGAGGCAGCAGGGGATAATAATGGACTATTATCTGTAAATCCAACCCATCCTGAAGGGCCGGGAAAGACGGGTTCTCTTGAAAGTAGTGTGTGTGTGTGGGGGGGGGGGGGTGTTTGGGGGCTCCAGACCCTGAAATCTGGCGGGGGGGAATAGGAGGGAAAACCTGAATTTATTTTTATTATTTATTTATTATTTTTTTATTATATTAAAAATATATTATTTATTTATTATATTATTTATTATATTATTTATTATATTATTTATTATATTATTTATTTATTATATTATTTATTTATTATATTATTTATTATATTATTTATTTATTATATTATTTATTTATTACGAAGCCCCCCCCCCCCAAAAAAAGTTCCCCCTACCAAGTCTCGAATGAGCTGCCCCAGAAGGTCCTCCTTCCCTCCTCCTCCTCCTCCTCCTGCGGGGGTCTCTGCAGCGGGGCCGGGGCCGGGGTCCCCCTCAGGCCCGGGAGAGACGCGGAGGAGGCTCTGAAGCGGCGTCTCTTCCTCCAGCAGCCCCTCCAGGAGAGCCCCGTAGCCGCCCCAGCTTCGCACGGGCTGAGGCGGCTCTTCGCCTCCCGCTTCTCGAGGCCTTTTGCGGCTTTTTTTCCACCGGCGCTTCGGACCATCCCGGGCCAGCTCGGCTTGCCAACGGCGGCGGAACGAATCTAGCGCCGCCGACGACGACGACGAGGCATCTTCCACCATGGCGACCCGGAGGAGGCGCCGCCGACGGACTTCCGGCTACTTCCGGCCGCGACGGTCCGTCCCGGAAAAGCAGCCGGGTGGGAAACATGCGAGCGGCGCACGAAGGTTCCGACCGGCAAAGCGGGCCGCGCTCCCGTATTATAACACTTACACGAAAGGGTTTTTGGAAAAATGCTTCTTTCTTTCTTTCTTTCTTTCTTTCTTTCTTTCTTTCTTTCTTTCTTTCTTTCTTTCTTTCTTTCTTTCTTTCTTTCGTCTTCCTTCCTTCCTTCCTTTCTTTCTTTCTTCCTTCCTTTCTTTTTCTTTCTTTCTTCTTTTTCTTTTTTCCTTCTTTCTTTCTTTTTTCTTCCTTCCTTTCTTTTTCTTTCTTTCCTCTTTTTCTTTTTTCCTTCTTTCTTTCTTTCTTTTTTTCTTCCTTCCTTCCTTCCTTTCTTTTTCTTTCTTTCTTCTTTTTCTTTTTTCCTTCCTTCCTTCCTTCCTTCCTTCCTTCCTTCCTTCCTTCCTTTCTTGGTTCGATTTATATGCCACCCTTCTCCGGAGACTCAGGGCGGCTTACAATGCGTTAAGCAATAGCCTTCATACTTTTGTATATACCTGCTTAGTAGGGCTTTCGGCCCCCACTAAGCGGTGTTCTTTTTTTTATTCAAAGTCAGCTTATTGCCCCCACAATCCGGGTCCTCATTTTACCTACCTCGGAAGGATGGAAGGCTGAGTCAACCTTGAGCCTGTCTAATCATATTTATATGGCTGCCCCCTCCCCCTGGGCAACACACAACAATAAACGAAGTCTTCAAAAGCGTCGGAACAGCTGGACACGTCTGTGTTGCCTTGAAGTAACAGTAATGGAGTTGAAAGGGGCCTTGGAGGTCATCTAGTCCAACCTGTAACCAGGAGACCTGTAACTAGGGATTCGAACCGACGGCGTTTGCTGATCGACAAGCTCAGCGTCTTAAAGCCACTGAGCCAGACACCTAGGGAGCCGACAGAATACAGAATAAACAAGGCTTGGAAGAGGACCTTGGAGGTCATCTAGTCCAACCCCCTTGTTGGAGCAGGAGACCCTAATCCTATATCATTTCCGACAGACAGACACCCAAACACACACACACACACACACACACACACAATCCCGGAGTTGTTTTGCCACGTGCCCGTTCCCTGCACGTCGCGTGACAGAGTTCGGCATACGGCGGTGAAAGTGTGAAGTTTCTCCCAACCTGCTTGGGGGAAAGTGGGGGGGTGCAATCCATAAAGACATCCATCTGCAAAACTTGGGGGTGTGTGGAGTGGGATGCTTGGTGTTAGAACGGCTTTCCTTCAGAAGTTGTGGGTGCTCCATCACTGGAGGCTTTTAAAAAGAGACTGGACAGCCGTCTGTCGGAAATGATATAGGATAGGGGTTTCCTGCCCCAGCAGGGGGTTGGACTGGATGACCTCCCAAGGTCCCTTCCAACTCTGTATTCTGTAAATGTTCAGAAGAGAAGGACTAGGGGGTGACATGAGAGCAGTGATCCAATGTTTGAGGAGCTTCCACAAAGAAAAAGGGGGTGAAGCTATTCTCCAAAAACACCTTTCCAAGGCATTTTGGAAACTAATGGAACTAATCAGGGAGAGAAGCTGTCAAGTATTTGCAAGCCATTGGCACATGTATCATACAGACACTAGTGGAGGCAGAAAGTGCCCCCACCCCTATGTGGAAAGGAGGGGCTTACAATGAGTATAAAACCCCCTCTAACCTTTCCACCATGCTCTCTTTTACGTTTGTTCTCCATGAGACATGATCTTTGATAAGGGTAGTCACACACACTGTGTGCCCCCTATCCTAATGGATATTAAGATAGCCTTTGTATATAGTTAATATGTTTTGTTATATGAATAAATACATTTATCACATTTATTCATGCATCTGCCTTTGGAGTCTTCTATGCTCCTGGGTGTTTCTACGATCCCAATTTCCACAGAAGCAACTAGAACTAAGGAGAAATTTCCTGACAGTTAGAACAATTAATCAATGGAACATTTTGCCTCCAGAAGTTGTGAAGGCTCCAACACTGGAAGTTTTTTTAAGAAGAGTCTGGACAACCATTTGTCTAAAATGGTATAATGGTATATGGTTGGATTATAGGACTTCCAAGGTCCGTTCTAACTCTGTTTATTCTGTCCTTTGTCATCTTTTCAGTCCTTAACAGATGAAAATCCTGCAAAACTCTTGGGGACCACCAGGTTGTCGCAGACATTGAGTTTGCCATAGCTCGTGGCTGCCACCTACTGGGCACTTAGCAATTGGCAATTTATCTCTAGGATCTGCAATGGGGATGGATCTCAATTCAGCGGCAGAAACTTAAAAGGAGGACAGTGTAGGACAAAGCAGCCTTCAGTGACTGGATCCTTGCCGTATATTTTGGAAACTAGTTCTTTCTTGTCTCCACTTCACCATGGCTAGGAGTTATGGAATCTGTAGTCCAAGCCATGAGCCACATCTTGCACCATTGTTTGTGCTTGCTTGTTGTGGTCTGCCAGCAGCCTGCGGAGTTGGCAGCCGAGTCGGACAGCGATGAGGCTGAGGAAGAACATGGGCCAGTCCTGGAGTCAGGGGAAGGCCCAGATGAGGGCTCTGCGTCGGAGGCAGAGATGGGGCCAGGGCCATCGGGGAGTGAAGTGCGGACTCCGGAGCCTCCAGAGGCTGACAGTAGAGAGGCAGAGGAACAGGAGGAGCCTGTTCCTAGTGTACGCATGAGAAGAGCTGCCAGAAGGCAAGAGCAGCTCAAGCAAAGAGGACAACTCGGGAGTAGGGCCAAGAGATGATTGGCACCTCCCATAAGGCTTAAAACAGACCAGCAACGGCTCTTGGGCTCTTTGTCGGAAAACAACGTTGGTAGCTTCGTCTTCTTCTTCATCTATGTCTTGCATTTATTTTTGTATCTGTGACTTCTGAAGGTTTGCCAAGAAAGGCCTTTGGCAGTTTGCCTAATTGGACCAAGGTTTGCGATAGGACTGAGGAATTTCTGTTGGGAGGAATTTGCTTTAATTTTTCCAGCAAGCCGGGCTGGCTTAAGAAAATTTTTTTTAAAGTTTTAAATTGGTTTGTGATTTTTAATTTTTGGGCCAAATTTATATATATTTTAATTGTTTTTTAATATTTGTATTTCATGTTCTTAATTCTGGCTGTACACCGCCCTGAGTCCTCAGGGAGAAGGGCGGTATATAAATTGGAAATAAAATAAAATAAAATAAAATAAAATAAAATAAAATAAAATAAAATAAATTTAGTTGAACAATGCTGGGAATGAAGTCATTCTCAGCTGTTTGACTAAAGATTTTCCTACTATTTACTTGGGCCTGGGTCACAACATTGCTTAAGGTTGAATTTCACAACACTCCGAGGTCTATGGATTGGCTTAGTACAGTGTTTTTTTAAACTTGGCAACTTTAAGATGTGTGGAACTTTCAGCTCCCATAATTCCCTTCCTTTATTTTGGAATATTTGCTTTATTCTTGTCAAAAGGAGCTAAAGCAGAGGTAAAAAGGAAAGGTTCCCCTCACACATACGTGCTAATCGTTCCCGACTCTAGGGGGCGGTGCTCATCTCCGTTTCAAAGCTGAAGAGCCAGCGCTGTCCGAAGACTTCTCCGTGGTCATGTGGCCAGCATGACTCAATGCCAAAGGCGCACGGAACTCTGTTCCCTTCCCACCAAAGGTGGTCCCTATTTTTCTACTTGCATTTTTTTTACGTGCTTTCGAACTGCTAGGTTGGCAGAAGCTGGGACAAGTCACGAGAGCTCCCCCCGTTACGCGGCACTAGAGATTCGAACCGCTGAACTGCTGACCTTTCGATCAACAAGCTCAGCATCTTAGCCCCTAAGCCACCACGTCCCTTCTAAAGCAGAGGTAGTTAGTTTTTTAAAAACGGTCAATCGGCTACTTCCGGTCCAAATATAAAGCTGTCTCGCATTTCCATATATTTTCGCATTTAACTAATATGCCTCGATCTTGTTGTCGCTCAATTTGCTGTCTCTCTTTGCTTGTACATATTCGAAACTGTGAACTTTTAAGAAAGAAAAAAAAAATCAGCAATTTGTCAAGCACTCAGTTCCTCCTGTGGCTGAATTGCCTATTGGGGACTTTATAATTCCACAGCAATTAAAAGTTAACACTCCCATGTCAAAGATTTTAAAATGTAGAGTGGCTTCACACCTTGCATGAAATGCTAGGCTGTGCTTTTCCATAAGTGTGGTTTTTTTTTTTTCTGAGTGTGTAAGCGTGCAAGCACTAGGAGATACCTTCCGAGGAACGTGTTTTCTCATCTCTTTGCAAAACCTGCTTCAAAGGTGCACAGAGGTAGCCGCTTCATACATGACTATCTGCCTGGAAAGACCATAGGATAATGCTTTAAGGGGTACTTGATGCTCTCTGAGGTTGGTTGTTTTCTTGCAGATGTTTCGTCATCCAAACTAGGTAATGTCATCAGTGCTAGAAGGCAGTGGGGTTTACTCCCTGTTTATGCTAGTGGCTTGCTCTGTCAGTGTCAGTGGGTGAGTTCTTGGTGGTTCTTTGATTAGGCTGTTTGACTTGTCTTGAGTTGATGATTCCTTGGAGAACATATAAACAAAAAGTGAATCCTGCTGCCTTCTAGCACTGATGATGTTACCTAGTTTGGTAATGAAGAAAACTGCAAGAAAACTATCGAGCTCAGAGGGCACTAAGGACCCCCGAGTCCTTTTCATCCTCTTCCTCCTCCTCCTCCCATTTTCTTTCACTCTGCAAACCCCACTCCCTTCTAACACTGTTACCCAGTTGGGTAATGAAACATCTGCAAGAAAACAAGCAACCTCTGAGAGCACCAAGGACTCCACAATTCTCCTGCTCCTTTCTGCAAACTCCACTCCTTTTTAGCACTGATGATGTTACCTAGTTTGGTAATGAAACGTCTGCAGGAAAACAATCAAGGTCAGAGAGCATCCAAGAAATCACTCTCATTTCAGCCCTAAGGTACAAATATTGACAGTGCTTTTACCTAAGCCAACAAGATATTCCGAATCTCGAGCTCAGCATTTTTTCTTCTAACCAGAAGTGACTCACTAAGATTCTTAGTGTTTTTTCCCCCTTGTTTTTCCTGGGAGCTGAATCCGACTCCTTTCCACACGGAAAGCAAAGGGAAACAGGGAAAGGAAAGGAAGGAAGGTGAGAGAAGGAAGGAGGAATAGAAAAAAAGGAAACAGAAGAAGGAAAGGAGAGGAGAGGAAAAGAAAGGAAGAAGGGAAAGGAAACAGAAGAAGGAAAGAAAAGAAAGAGTAGAGGTAAGGAAGGAAGGGAAAATGGAAAGCAAAGGAAGAAGGGAAACTGGGAAAGGAAAGGAAGGAAGGAAGGAGGGAAGGAAATGGAAAGGAGAGGAAAGGAAAGGAAGAAGGGAAAAGGGGGAAAGGAAGGCAGGTGAGAGAAGGGAAGAAAGAGAAGAATGGAAAGGAAAGCAAAAGAAGAAGGAAACAGGGAAAGGAAAGGAAGGAAGGTGAGAGAAGGAAGAGGGAAGGGAAAGGAAAGGAAACAGAGAAGAAGAAAAGGAAAGGAAAGGAAAGAAGAAAGGAGAGGGAAGGGAGGGAAGGGAAGAAGGGAAAGAAAAGAAAAGGAAGAAGGGAAACAGGGAAAGGAAAGGAAGGAAGGAAGGAGGAAAGGAAAGGAAGAAGGGAAAAGGGGAAAGGAAGGAAGGTGAGAGAAGGAAGGGGGAAGGAAAAGGAAAGGAAACAGAAAAGGAAAGGAGAGGAGAGGAAAGGAAGAGAGAGAAGAGAGGAAAGGAAAAGAAGAAGGAAAAGGAAAGGAAACAGAGAAGAAGAAAAGGAGAAAAGGAAAGGAAGAAAGGAGAGGGAAGGGAGGGAAGGGAAGAATGGAAAGAAAAGGAAGAAGGAAACAGGGAAAGGAAAGGAAGGAAGGAAGGAGGAAAGGAAAGGAAGAAGGGAAAAAGGGAAAGGAAGGAAGGTGAGAGAAGGAAGGGGGAAGGAAAAGGAAAGGAAACAGAAGAAGGAAAGGAGAGGATAGGAAAGGAAGAGAGGAGAGGAGAGGAAAGGAAAGGAAGAAGGGAAAGAAACAGAAGAAGAAAGAAAAGAAAGGAAGGGAAGGGAAGGGAGGGAAGGGAAGAATGGAAAGAAAAGGAAGAAGGGAAACAGGGAAAAAAGGAGGAAGGAAGGAGGGAAGGAAAGGAAGAAGGGAAAAAGGGGAAAGGAAGGCAGGTGAGAGAAGGAAGGAAGGAAGGAAGGAAGGAAGGGAAGAGCTCCAAAAGAGAAAGAGGGCGAGAGAAGCGGGTTGGAGAGGTGGGGGAAAGGAAGGGCAAGAGGGAAGGGAAGAGTTAAGGCTCTCCGCCCGCCCGCCCGCCTCCCTCGCCGCCGTCTTGCGGCCGCCCCGTCGAGGCGGAGGATGATCTCAGCCAGCATGTGACGCCCGAGCGCGCCTCGCTCCGCGCCAGACTGACAGCCGCGGCAGGAGAAGGAGGCGGAGGAGGCGGCGGAGGCGATCGGCGCTGGGCTGGCCGGAGGGAGCAGCGGCGGCGGCTGGAGCAGCGTCGCGCCGTCGGCGGGCCCGGCCATGTGCCCTTGCGCCCTGCCCGGCCGCCCTCCGGCCGGCTGTTTGTGCAGCAGCCACGGCGGCGTTGGCGGCGGCGGAGGCGACGGAGGCGGCGGCGGCAGCAGCCCGGGCAGGGCGCGCGTCTCCGGAGCTCAGCTCACCGCGGCGCGCCTCCAGGCGATCGGCGATGAGCTGCAGGCGCGGACGGCGGCGCGGAGGGCGGCCAGGAGCCGCCGCGCCTCCGCCGGCACCGGCCTGGCCACTTCCTTGGCGTTGCTGGCCGCCCTGGCCTGGCTGAGCCGCAGGGGGCGCATGTAGGGCGGCCGGAGCGACGGCCCCTCGACGGGCGGCCGAGCGAGTCAGCGACCTCCGCGGCAGGTGAGCGGCCGGGCGGGCGGGCGGGCGCGGAGGAGGGGACGGACGGACGGACGGACTGCCTGGCTGGCTGGGTGGGTGGGGGTGTGATTAGGGGGGCTCCGTGGCGGAGACACCGAGCAGAAAGGGCCTCGTTCGGAATCCCTAGTGCAAGGTCTCCTGCCTGAGCAGGGGGCGGGACTAGATGACCTCCGAGGGTCCCTTCCAACTCCGTTACTGAATGTGTGTGTGTGTGTGAGACGAGGTGGCTCCGTGGCTAAGGCTGAGCTCGCCGAGCAGAAAGATCGTAGTTTTGAATCCCTAGTACAGGTCTCCTGCCTGAGCAGGGGGTTGGACTAGATGACCTCCGATGGTCCCTTCCGTTACTGTTACTGAATGTGTGTGGGTGACGAGGTGGCTCCGTGGCTAAGACACTGAACTCGGTTCGGAATCCCTAGTACAAGGTCTCTTGCCTGAGCAGGGGTTGGACTAGATGACCTCCAAAGGTCCTTTCCGTTACTGTTACTGAATGTGTGTGTGTGAGACGAGGTGGCTCCATGGCTAAGACGCTAAGCTCGCCGAGCATAGGTTTGAATCCCTAGTACAAGGTCTCTTGCCTGAGCAGGGGGCTGGACTAGATGACCTCCGAGGGTCCCTTCCAACTCCGTTACTGAATGTGTGTGTGTGTGTGAGACGAGGTGGCTCCGTGGCTAAGGCTGAGCTCGCCGAGCAGAAAGATCGTAGGTTTGAATCCCTAGTACAGGTCTCCTGCCTGAGCAGGAGGCTGGACTAGATGACCTCCAAAGGTCCCTTCCAACTCCATTACTGTTACTGAATGTGTGTGTGTGACAAGGTGGCTCCGTGGCTAAGACACTGAGCTCGGTTTGGAATCCCTAATACAAGGTCTCTTGCCTGAGCAGGGGGTTGGACTAGATGACCTCCAAAGGTCCCTTCCATCTCTACTGTTACTGAATGTGCATGTGTGTGTGTGTCTCTCTCTCTCTACCTTGAGGTCCCACGCGGGAAGTTTCTGGGTCCCCATTCCCCCCGCCATCCTGTCCTGCAGGACTACAACTTCCGTCTTCCCCAGCCCTCTTGCCTTGGCTCTCCGAGGGAAGCAATCTTGGGTTGGGCCGGGTTTCTGGGCTATCCGGAGCACCTGGAGTTTGCAGCTCCAGAGTTCACCTTCGGGGCTCACCTTTCTCTGCCTCCCTCCCCTTACCTGTGAAATGGGGGAGTACCCAGGGCCAGCGGGAGGCTGACAGTTCAAGGATGCGCAGGGAAATACTTGGGAAACATCCTGCAGGCGATGTAGTGAGAATTCCCTCTCCAGCAATAGAACTCAACTAAACAACAGTGCCTGTCCGGTGGAACTCCTTGCCACAAGATCCGGGGAATAGCTCTTGCTGTGTGTGGGTGCTTGGAAAGCAAGATGGATCAAGCCCAAAGGACCACGGGGTTGGACTAGAAGATCTCCGAGGTCTCTTCCCACCGTTAGTCTGTTAGGGAGGTTGGTTGGTGCAAAGCTTTTCACAGCTTCCGGGGAGAATATTTGTGGCTCGGGGTTGAAATGAGGGCATCCTTGGTGCTCTCTGAGCTTGACAGACATTTCAATACCCAACTAGGTAACGTCATCAGTGCTCATGCTAGTTTCCAGTTAGTTTTCCAGCTCCCATCGAAACGGACAGTGGGTCCATCCTGGGCTTCCCAGAGGCAGTTTTTTTTTTTTTTCCCCTGCAGTTCAGGGGAAAAAAAAAATAGTAGCTGGAATACTGACCAAGTTGATTGGACCTGCAGGACACTTTTAATTTCCCAGCCCTCCAAATGTTGCAGCTCTTGAAAATCGCGTAGATTAAAAGCTTTGCCTCCCGGGCATCGGTTTCTTCCTAGCCAGCCAAGGTGGAAGGGAGAAATGGCACTCCAAGCTGGGCATTGAGACATACCTGTGAGATTCGCTCGTCCCGTCTCTGCTCGGGGCTAAAAAGTGGCATCTTTTAATCCGGAAGGGGGCTAATGGACACTCCGAGAGATCTGTCCAGGGAATGGGGGGGGGGGGGGAAAAAGAAGAGAGAAAACGATGGGAGTTTGAGGTCAGGAGTTGGGGTTTTGGCGTGCAGTTCTGAGCCAGGGACAGGTTCCAGCTGCCTCGGCTGGCACTGCCGGCCATGGATTCTGCAAAACCTCAATTGGCATGGTGGGCAGCCGAGGTGACGGGCAGTTTTTGGACGCGGAGTTTTCCTAGACAGGTGTGTCTTTTGCTAGCCAGCTTTAAGTTTCTCTCTGCTGTGGGCTAAAAAAAAACGGAGGAGGGCTTTTGCCTCCAGGTCAGAGCGCCGATTTTGACTGTAAAAGTTCCTTCTCGAAAGAATCTCTCGCAAAGCACCAGAGGGCAGGACAAGAAGTGACGGGTGGAAGCTCATTAAAGAGAGATTTAACCTAGAAGGAGAATATTTTCTGACAGCGAGAGCAATTAATCGACGGAACGGCTTGCCTTTTGTGGGTCACTGGAGGGTTTCAAAAAATAAATATATTTATTTATTTATTGGTTCGATTTATGTGCCGCCCTTCTCCGGAGACTCAGGGTGGTTTACAATGCGTTAAGCAATAGTCTTCATACTTTTGTATATACCTGCTTAGTAGGGCTTTCGCCCCCCCCCCCCCCAAGCGGTGTTCTTTTTTATACAAAGTCAGCTTATTGCCCCCACAATCCGGGTCCTCATTTTACCTACCTCGAAAAGGATGGAAGGCTGAGTCAACCTTGAGCCTGGTGAGATTTTCGAACTTGCAGTAACTGCAGGCAGCTGGTGCTACTTTAACAGCACTTAGGAGCCTGGTTTAGCTCAGCAGACTAAAAGCATAGTGATTAACACCAGCTGTCTGCAATTACTGTAAGTTCAAATCTCACCAGGCTCAAGGTTGACTCAGTCTTCCATCCTTTCTAAGGTAGGTAAATTGAGGACCCAGTTTGTGGGGGCAATAAGCTGACTTTGTATAAATATACAAAAGTATGGAGGCTACTGCTAAACGCATTGTAAGCCGCTCTGAGTCTCCGGAGAAGGGCGGCATATAAATCAAATTAAAAAAACTTAGTCAATTGTGCCACCAAGGCTCTTGGACAATCATTTGACTGGAAGAGTGTGTAAGGCTCCTGCCTTCAGCAAGAGGGCTGGACTAGAAGACCTCCGAGGTCCCTTCCGACCTTAGGATTCTGTGTTTCTATGTATGGAGCTATAAAGCATTTCCCAAAACAGCCTGCAGGCTTTTCCGGTTGCTTCAAAACCTAGCAGAATATGCTAAAGTTGATGATTTTTAATCACAAGTAGCAGCTACAAAGGAAGTTTTAGAAATGGTGGCACCTCCATTTCTTGTAACAGTTTACGATTTGTGTGTACTTTGTGAGTGTAAAATAAAAAATAAAAAATAAAAAATAGGGTTCATAGAAATCATTCGGCTACCATCCATTGCAGGCTGAATTTCGGGCGGCCTCCAAACCAGTGTTTGCTTGAAGTTAGAATCCCACCAAGGCCTCCCCATCCCCATTGCAACTGGACGCTCCATCAATCCCAGTAAAACACCGTTTGTTAGCCGCCATGTGTGGCTTAAGTCACTATAGTCAAACCGCTTCAAAACCAAGCCAAAAACGCATCGTTCTGATGCTTTGCCACGTCCTGGTTTATTTTTCCTCAAATCAAAAACGAAATACCCTTTTGTAGGAGTAAATAGCTGGGGTGGGGGCCGGAGAGGGAAACACATCCTAAATTAAAATTAAAATCGGTGGCTGGTATGAACTTCCTTGGCATCACCCTTTTTCTCGATCCGAGGACTGAAAGAGGTGGAAACAAGGCATATAGCAGAATAACAGAGTCGGAAGGGACCTTGGAGGTCTTCTAGTCCAACCCCCTGCTTAGGCAGGAAACTCTACACCACTTCAGACAAATGGTTATCCAACATCTTCTTCAAAACTTCCAGTGTTGGAGCATTTACAACTTCTGAAGGTGATTTGTTCCACTGATTAATTGTTCTCACTGTCAGGAAATTTCTCCTTAGTTCTAAGTTGCTTCTCTCCTTGATGAGTTTCCACCCGTTGCTTCTTGTCCTGCCCTCAGGTGCTTTGGAGAATAGCTTGACTCCCTCTTCTTTGGGGCAGCCCCTGAGATACTGGAAGGCCGCTATCATGTCTCCCCTAGTCCTTCTTTTCATGAAAGTACACGCCCAGATCTAGACTAGGACTTCTAAGACAAAGTTTAACACTGGCAACACTTTCTTTTAGATTGTAGCTTTTTTGAGAGTTATGCATTCCGTCAATACTTATTTTACTCTTCTGATAGAAACCTGCCTTGGACAGGAAAGCGGGAAAACCTGATTACAGATATTATACCATTATCATCACTCATTATAAAATATCACCCATTATAAAAACAATGTGGAGACGCTAGAAAGAGTGCAGAGAAGAGCAACAAAGATGATTAGGGGACTGGAGGCTGAAACATATGAAAAACCGGTGCAGGAATTTGGGAATGTTGTTTAATCAAAAGAAGGACCAGGGGTGGCAGTATTCTAATATTTGAGGGGCTGCCCCAGAGAAGAGGGGGTTGACCTGTTCCCCAAAGCCCCTGAAGGCAGGACAAGAAGCAACGGGTGGAAACGAACCAAGGAGAGAAACAACCTAGAACTAAGGAGGAATTTCCTGATAGTTAGAACAGTTAACCAGCGAAACAGCTTGCCTCCAGAAGTTGTGGCTGTTTCATTCCTGGAGGTTTTTAGCAAGAGACTGAACTGTGACTTGTCTGAAATGGTATAGGGCCGTAATGGCGAACCTATGACACGTGTGCCAGAAGTGGCACACAGGGCCCTCACTGTGGGCGTGCACGCCATCACCAGCTGCTCTTCCGGTTTCGGCACACATGCATGCCGGCCAACTGGTCTTCGCGGGTGCTGGAGCACCAGAAAATGGCCTGAAAACTGTCTGAAAAATGGCCCCAAAAACAGGCCGTTTTCCTGGCCATTTTCAGGCTGTTTTTTGG